ATACCTGATCCCTACTCTGAGCAGATACACAATGCCTCAACCAACCCCCGACATGCCTGGAACACCCCCATAATGCCTGGTCAACATCAACGGCATCCCGATGAACAATCAGGGAATCTATCATCCCCAAATACACACAAGCACCCGCCGATGGAGGATCTGCATCCCCCCCCAGCACCACCCCAATGGATCCCCACCGCTGAAGCATGAAGATGGCTATGGAACATCTGGGAGATCCGGTAAGAGGATCCTGTGAGCCGATGCCATGAAGGACAACGACGAGGATCGAACGATGGAAAAAGGGGGGGAGGAGAAGAAAGAGAGAGCTATACGGATTCCTGTGCACGTTAAAAAAGGGGGGAGACGTCTTTTCTTTCAGATCTGCCGCAATCAAAGAGCATCTTCACCAGTAACTTGGTCCCCCCCGGAACGAACATTCCGAACTCTTCCCGAGCAGAAAAGACGACCATCGACACCCGAGGACTGTGAATACAAGAGGGGGGAGGGAGAGCGTGGGGATGCATACGCTCAAGGCTTGCTTGCATACTAATTATAGGGGAAACACTAACAACGGCAACAGTGAGGGACGCATAACATGGAGGGGGGAGGAACACAAAGAGAGAGGTGGAATCATTACTCGCTCATACAGTAAACAGCTAGAACAATGGGAAATGGTAGAAACAGAGAACGATAGAATGAGGAAGGAGCGTAGGAGTGCCCAAACATGTAACATCTGCACAAATGCTATTGCTAATAGGGGAGTGAGAGATAAGGACATGAAACAGAGGGAGAACGTCAACCCCCCAGCCCAAAGAAACACAAGGATATAACTATGATCCTAATGGGAGTTATAACACTGACAGAGGGGAATTAGATACCCCCAAAGTATGTAACGGAAGAGGGAATGGGAGCAGAACTAATGGCTTTGAAAAAAGGGGGAGAAAAGGGTCAATAATAAAACGTCAAAAGGAGTGATTTCGAGGAACGATGTAAGAAAATGTAAGGAGAGTAACAAGGAAACACCTAGAACTCAAACTGACCGGCCAGGACCAGTGACATCTATGGTCCAAGAGCCGTGTACAGATGTCAGCTTAACATATTTAAGTCATCATTGTTTGCTGGCTTTTCAGCCCTGATGATGTTGGGAGCCTCCCCAACGAAAGCTTGGTGGTTTTAGTAAAGTATATTTTTTATACCTTTATTCTCCTGGTGATCGTATTTTTATTTGTATTATAAACATGCCCAGGAGTTGTATTTTTATGGATATTTGTCTATCTATCTATCTATCTATCTATCTATCTATCTATCTATCTATCTATCTATCTATCTATCTATCTATCTATATGCTTCTTGAAATTTGAACCCAGATTACTGTTAGGCCAATAAATGTCATAGGCCAAGGTACTCATATTTCAAACAGTTTCCATTTTTGTAATATTTCCATGAAACTTTTTTTTTCATCCTCTCCTTGACACACACAACTGCTATCTAGAATTTAAAAGAGATTTTTGCTAAAACCTAGACTGCTTCATCTTGTTTCAAGAAATATTTTATATCCCTTTATATGAATGGATTTCTGTTTTCTGAATTATCAAGCAGAACTTATTTTTTCTTCAACCAAACTAAAACTAAGTAAATAATTAAAAAGATCAGATATTATGAAGTTGTGGACTCGGATAGCTTATAATTCAATAAAATCAATTTCTTTTCTGCTCTGAAGAACAGTTCTGATATTGGGACTAACTAGGAGATGGTGTAGTTGGGTAGCAGGGAGAGGTGCAAAGTTCCTGCCAATTCGCCTTCGCTGCAGACAACTTACATATGCAAAGTTTGCCGGCCAGGTGTTTTGGCGTGCTCAGCAGCAATTTCTATTGGCTTTTGAAAGCCAACAGGGGAGTAGCACAGCTCTTGCAAAAGTTGAAAAAAACATCAAAAAAAGTGCCGGAATTTGAATATAAGACAAGAAGGTCTATTCAGGAGAAAAAACATATTCCTCTTTCTTCTATGAAGCATTTCCTTTCAACTGAATAGTCTTACAGCTCCTGGATCTTCATTCTCTGAAACTCAGCTTGCTCTCCATCACTGGATCAATCTAGGCTACTGAAAACCTAGATAGTGCCAAGCAGTGGTGGGATTCAGCCAGTTCGCACCACTTTGGCAGAACCAGTAGCTAATTTTTTTTGCCCAGGTCCAGAATAGACTCCAGGAAGCGGCATCCACACAGAGAACTGGTTGTTCACATATTTGAATCCAACCACTGGTGCCAAGGTTAGCTCTGGCACAGTCTTCCCTGCTGTTCTTCTACCTGCGAATTCTTACAGACAACTGTGGTAAAGCTCCTTCCTATCTACTTATAGATCCAGTGCAAACTTTAATTCTAACTTCCTGATCTTTTCTGAATCTTTCAGTCTTTGTAGATAGGATTCATCTCTTGAGATCATCATTCTTTGAAATATATCATTTTTTTATAATTTGAATCTTACCTAATCCTTCAAATGCTTCCACCCTTTTCTCTTTATTGTCCTATAATGCTTGGAACAACCCTTCCCACCTCTGTTTGATAATGCTTATTTCCTTAAATTCTTTTTTTTATTAACCTTGTGAACTCTTAAGCTTCCTCCTTCCGTTATATATTCAAGATGGGCAGTATTTAATATTTATTTGCTATGTATATGTAGGGATGTGGGTCTATACATATGTTGTTCATAGTATGTTTAGCTGTGCGTCATGTATATGTTTCACTTTGAGAATGGGCAACTAAATTTCATTTTTGATGTGTGCCGTTGTGCCCACAGTAAAAAGAATGACAATAAAGGCTATCTTATCTTATCTTATCTTATCTTATCTTATTATTATTCAGGCTTGGGTTCAAGCATGCAGTTTCCATTCCTTCTTGTCATTTAAGCACCGCCTCTATTACTGAAGCAATGACTATCTCTTCTTCCTGCCTCCCTCTTTGTATAAGTGCTAAGGCAAGAGCCAGAGTTTCTCAATCCAGAGATGGTAAATTACATAAACATTCAACATTGAATGGTTTCAAGGCCACCAGGCAAAGAGTCCATTCATTTATGAAGAGTGTGAAGAAAAAGCAATAGATTTAAACATATGTGGGTATAACAGAGAGACTGTACTGTTGCAGTGGTAATAGGGAAGAAACCATTTCATTTGGCATCAATCTTGATTCCAGTAAAAGAGCTTTTATTGTGCATGTGGCAGTTCTGCCAAGTTCCAGACTAGAAGTTGAATTAAGCTGTGGAAAATCAAGAAACCTTGGTTTATTACTGAATTGTGGCCAGGAGTGCTGACATATTGTTCATAAAATTTGAAATGAGGAAAACAACATATTATTTAATGACAGCTTTTTTCCAATGCAGATGTATCCTCATAAAAATCAAACAACATGTTTGATTTTAGACGATAAACCCTGTCTTTGGTCCCTGAAAAATAATATAATATTTTCATTGATATCTTTTCCATGTTGTGATGATTGCCTTGTCAACTGTTCATTCAACAGTATGAAAACTTTTGATAAAATTAATGATATTATAAGATTTATAGTAAGTAAGATCACATGATTACAATTCAGGCACTCAATTCATAATCACAATTATGGTGTCACAGTATCCTGCAGGCACATGACTGCATTTTATGATCTTCATTGTTGATTTCCAAAAAAGCAAATTCACTGGAGAAGCTAGTAAGAGGCAGCAAATCAGATGATGATAGGATGTTGCAACAATGCAGGATTCAACTGGGAGTGCTGGAGCTGTAGTCATAATCAGCACACTCACAGGATATTGCATCATATGACTATGCCACTTAGTAACAGAGTTCCCAGTACCAATTACCATCAGTAAGTAAGGACTGCCTGTAATTCTTTGAACTTTTATATGCACCTTGTCAAATATTTTCTCATTTGTTCTATCTGTATACCATATTAAAATGATGTAATATACATACTCTAATAAATGATCTTGCTTTATATAAGTATTTCAAATTCTACTGTCCTTCTTAATATCCCTTCTTCTTTTTTAGATACTACTTTTTATTCTTGTAGGAATTCCTATAATGAGCAGTTCTTGCTATGTCTTTAGTCTGTTTTATCAATCTGGATGTGCCATATTGGTGTTTACAAGTAAAGCTTCTTGCTGTAGTGCTGAAAACTGTGTTGAAATAAAAGGCATTTAATGGTGAAATTAATAATGCAGTCACTGAACTTGTTCATATTTTTAGAAGATTCTATATTTTTAATAAATTTTGTCTTGTAATATATACTGTCAAATTCTTTTCTTCATTTATTTCTTTGATTCTAAGAATAATTGTTGATTCCTGTGTCAAGCTATGAACCCTACTGCCTTTAGGACCGCAGCATGCTTCTAACTTGCCAACAGAGGGGGGAGGAAAGGAAGAGTGCTTTGAATCTACAGGTGTCCTTTATCAGTGTGAAACCCGAAGCTGCTGAAGAATTGTTTTGTCAAAACTAAAATCTGTTCTCATAACAATTACTAAAAGATGTATTGAGACAATGTGACCTGCACTCTCAGAAAGGGGTGGGAAAAGTTTTGTTCTTTTAATTAATTGCTTCCCACCAGTTTCCTGAGAACTAGCTTCCCTTTGACCCTACCCGTTTGATTCTGCTCAATAAAAATAATCATTAGAAGTTTGCAATGGTTCTGATGTTCTGCTTGGTTGGGCTTTTCAGCCAGATATTGACAACCTGCTCATTCTGAATTACATTATAAGCCATATTGAAAAAGCTTTAATGAAAATATACCTTCTATTAGGGTGGTGTTAATTAATATCAGTAGGTTTGCTATCATAATCTAGATAGCATCTTTTATGGTTTTTGTCCCCCCCCCCTTATAGTAGACTTCATTTAATACAGTTATGACTGTGTTATCAAGAAGTTGAATTTTATGGGGGATACTAAGTTGCACTAATAGCACATAAAATTTGAGAAACAGAATTCTATGAATCAAATTCTTGTTTTCTTCTCACAGATTACGATCTTTGGTAAAACAACTGGAGAGGGGAGAGGCTTCTGTGGTTGATCTAAAAAAGAACCTGGAATATGCAGCTACTGTGTTGGAATCTGTATACATTGATGAAACTAGGTGAGATAATTATTTCAGTATAGCTATTTGTTTTGTTTTTAACCCAATATGTCATAATATTTTTAGGCTATAGGGCATATTACATACATATAATTTTTTTTCTTCTAATAAGGTTTAAAAAGGGCATGTCTGTGTTCCTAGAAATACCACGAACAATCAGTAAACATGTTATCTTAAGAAATGAAAATGTTAACATTATTCCAGTATTATTTCACCAAGGTTTCATCAAACACTTTCTCCTGTCTAACAGCTGCAGCTATTCTCATTTTTGTGAGATGGAAATGATATGTCAATAAGACATAAATTAAAACTTATCTACCTGGCCTCACTCACAAAGCACAAGATTGAAATGATTTTTTTTCTATAAAGAGGCACAGAGAATGCATTTAGTTTAGAATTATTTAAACATTTGCTTGTCAACTTTGCCACCTTTTATTTTTATATATAAAAATATTCAATTTATATTCAATTTTTATATTTTCATGTTAATTCAAGAAACAATACTAATTTATTGTTCTGTCTCTAGCAGGATATGTAAATGATTACCATGGACATTTTAAATTATGATCACCATTATAGTTTATTAACCTTGCACATTATGGCAGCATACAAATAAATGCAAGCAACATACTGTATGGTAAACAAATGCAATTCAATTCAACTGAAATCAACATTAAAATCATTATCATTAAAACCATTAACAGCTCAAAACTTGATGAAGGAGATGTGTTTTGTCATTTGTCTAATATTGAGAAGAGTAGGCCAAAGTCATTCCATAAAGAAGACATTCCAGTTCAGTATTAAAGTCTGCTGTTATAGAAGTCTTGAAAGTTTTGGAAAAAACTATAGAAGAATTTGGAATGAAATAGTTTTATTTTTTAAATACTAAGAAGTTACTATTAATAACAACCATGGGCTTTTATGTTTTCTTTTGCCTTCTTTTCAACTTGTGGAAATCTCTCTTATCTTGAACTTTTGAAATGTCAAAAGAATGAAAAAGATATCAGACAAGCATTTTGGCTAAACAGCTAGCATTTAAAAATATGCTAAGTATAAATGCACAGTTGAGTCCTGGATATATTGCAGTTTTAATCAGGAACAACCCTAAAAAGATAATATGCACTACACGATTATTGTGCCTTCTAAAAAATAAGGTACTTTGTACTTTGGTATTGTTGTTGTCCACAGACAAAACACAATATAAGTAGCAGTTTTTATTAAATTTACCTCTTCTGCAGAATGAAATAGAATAAAACAAAGTAGTAAATTCACTAACCAATAGATTTATATATGGGTTTACATGTTTGACAATTGGAAAAATATTGTTTCAAGATAACTGTTACTTAATATAATTTTTCCTCTGTTCTTTCCAGGCGCCTCTTGGACACAGAAGATGAGCTTAGTGATATCCAGTCTGACTCTGTGCCTTCAGAGGTACGCGACTGGCTGGCTTCTACTTTCACCCGACAAATGGGTATGATGCTAAGAAGAAGTGAAGAAAAGCCACGATTCAGAAGCATTGTTCATGCAGTTCAAGCGGGAATATTTGTTGAGAGGTAAAAGGCAGTGGGTAGAGATCTTTAATCTTGAATAAAGGCTATTTGATTTTTTTTTTGAGAGGGGAAAAAAGCAAGCAAAATTGGGAATGGAAATCTTAGAACAATTGTTGTAAATTCTTATAATATAATGAAAATTAGTGCCTTCAAGTCAGTCTTGACTGATGGCAATTTCCTGAAAAGGTCCTTGCAGTTTTCTTGGCAAGATTTCAGAAGTTGTTTATCATTGCCTAATTCCTAGGGCCAAGAAAAGAGGTCACCAGCTGGCTTCATGCCTGAAGTAGAACTAGAACTGATGGTCTCTCAGATCCTAGCCTGCTGCCTTAACTACTACACCAAACTGGTTGTCTTTCTTATGATCTACAAAAATAAGCAACCATGAGCAAAAATCATGGCTACATATCATGGCCACATACATATATACTGCAACTATTTTTCATTATAATAAATTGGATTAAAACATAAGCTTATTTAAAGTGGAATGCATAAAAAGAAATCTGATTTAAGAAGATAATTTTATTCTCATTGATTTCAGTGGGCCATTGTTGGTATAAACCAGAATCCAATCCATTGTTTGGCTTGGAAAAGGAAAAAGGAAATTATGGCTACTAATAATCTTTATTTTAATGGGTGGGAGCTAGAAAGCAATCATAGCTCTTTTGATTGATGGTGAAAAGAAATTCAAACTTTGCTTTATTAGGACCAATAAAATGTCACAAAATAATATACAAATTTTCAAGTTATCTAGAATTCTAGAATTTTTACTTAAAAATGGAGAAAAGAACAATAAATACAAAAATTTGATTGGATATTTCAGTTATAAAATCTACAGTTCAGTCAGTCCCTAAATAGTAATTGTAGACAGAATGCATAATTAATGTTAATTATTGTTAGTGGCATAGTATATCTTGCATTTTGGGAGAAAAGATATAAGAAATAAGAAATAAGAAAAGGACTTAAGACCTACAATTATTTTTGCCAATCAACATGATACTGGCTACTAATGCTTCTCTTTGTAGCCCATCAGCCCATTTAAGTGAAGAAAAGACAGAGAATCTGATAGTGTCCAAGGATAGTTTCTATTAGTACACAGGTAGTAAATTTTATACCCATTATATCACAACACATATTTTGCACTTAATATGCAAAATGCATTTTCGTAGAAAGCATTAGGCATGATTGGGAGCTATTTGTTAATAGAAATAAATATTTGTTGTAGAAACAAAATAGGTATATTCTGGGAAAGGTTAATAGATGTGCATATAGATAAAGGTTAGACTATGGGAAGAAAAGATATTTGTTTGTAACTTAATGGGGTGAAGAGTAATTACATTTGTCTTAACTTGTAATGAAGATTGGAAGTTCTTTCATTACTTCTTTTCTTTTTCTTTAAATTACTTTCTTCTTTTTCTTTTCCACCTTTTTCTTTAATCTTTTTAATCTTTCTATTTATTTTTCTCAGTGTAGTTTGCATTTGTTTTTACTATTGTAATTAAAATCTTTTAAAAATTTATGAAAAAAGAGGAAATAAACAAAGGTAAATTTTTTACTTCGATAAGTCATATCCACTGTAAGAACTTAGGTATGCTCTAATTTTCATTTCTTACACTTCTTACACATTATTTTTATCGTGATAGAATGTACCGGCGTACATCCAATATGGTTGGACTTAGCTATCCCCCAGCTGTAATCGTAGCACTAAAGGTAATATCAATGAATAGTTTTTTTCTTATAAAATATTTAAATATTATAGCCTTGATTTGGTTTCTGTAGTATATCTTTTGTTTTCTCTAAATTTTATTCTCATATTAAATGAAATCTATTTAAAGAAACAAATATGAACAATATATTTTATCATCGTAGGCATCCAATCCTAACTTTGATATGTCATTATTGCCACTCAGTACAAGTTGTACCTTTGTACTTGTGTTGTATAAGGGGCAGAGTTTACATTATAATGTACGTTTTGTGACTTTCCCCCTCCCTTCTTGCACACATCTATGTTATCTTAACAAATTATGATGAAACTGTCTAGTATTGACCATTTTATGTAGTGAAGAAACACTGTATATCACTTCGCAATCAGCTTGATCTCCTGTGTAAATGAATATTTTTTCACATGCAATTACAACATTCCAGTAGGTCTTTCTCCTTAAAATGAACTGAAATTTTGTTTGCGCTTGAGACATTTACAGTATAAAATATTATTTGAGTCAGCAAATGGAGTGGAAGAATTCCCATTCAACTACTGTTCCAGAACTCAACTATTGACATTAGTAAATGTTGATCAGGCCCGATCCCTGATTTAAATACATTCTTTCTACATAAGGAAATTAAAATTACAATGCATCGTTCTTATGACTGATATCCTTGGTCAGCTATGCTTGTCAGTGAATTTGTACACAGAAGGAGTTTCATGGAGCAATCCTTCAAATCTTGTGTTGATCCTAACACATTGAGAAACACCATAATGAAAACTCAGGTGTAGACTTCATGTCTATTTGAGAGAAGAATAAAATGAAATACATAGTGACCTGAATTCACTGTAACTAGTAGGGTTAAAAATCGTATGTGGCTTTAAGAATATTTGTAACTGATGTTAGTTTAAATCCCATTTACCTATTCATATAAAGAAATATTAGTGTGACCCATATTAAAAGAATTGCACTTATTCAGTTGGACTTAAATTCTCCTTACTATGACAAAAGGAAATACTTCAGCTCCTCTTTTCTTTACTTGAAAATAACTGTTTCCTATGAAATCTTTCAATTTTTTTTCCTTTTGGCTCAATTAGAAGTGAACTGTATGCCCAGGGTAAATAAATTACAGTATACTCCACTGTAGTGAAATTGTTTTATCAGTGAAAAGCAGACTAGGAAATATAAACATAAATAAATGAATTTGGCTTCCAGGAAGATAGCTCATTGTTCTTATCATTTGGAATGTTAATGTGGTAGTTTAGAATATCACAGATTTTAAGTCTTCATATTGCCTACTAGCTCTAGAAACTAAACTGCCAACATTCTTGTGGATTTGAATGCAAATATTTTTAGTAGTCATTAAATAACATCCTTGTACCAGATTTTGAAATTCTTGCTTTACCTTTTGAGTCTGGTTGACCTCCTAAAGTATGTACATACTCACCCATACTCAAAACATATTCAAATTATTTCTTCATAGATGTTGGTACCTATCAAAATATTCTTATTAGGCTTTAGGCTAACACAACTTTACAGTTTACAAACTTCCTGGGAAGAACTGCCCTTTTGTCTTCTTTTACAGCTGAAGCCAAATCATACATATGCACATATGAAATTTAGTCATCTTGTTTTCCACAATTAGAATACTTTGGGGAAATAGGAAGTACCTGCAGTAGTGTCTGAAGATTGCATCAGAAGAGTCCACTTTGAAATTTTAAATATTTTGAGCATTATTACAGACATGTAGGTTCACTGTCTATGGTTAGGTGCAAAATAAAATGACAAAGGTCAAAATGAAATCAATTTTCAGATATTTCCATTAGAGTTTTTGTGAATTTTTTTTTCTGGAGATAAGGCAATTGAAAGCCCTGATATTTTTTTCATTCTGAAGATAAGGGATAGCTAAGCTAACTACAATAATCATTCTGATGTTTAAGTAGACTGAGTTATGCTTTCATTAAAAAAGGAAAGGAAAAAAATGTGGAATTGTGGAGGATAAGCCAGCAATTTTATTTATTTTATTTTTATTTTTAAAATTTATAAGCCGCTCCACTCCTGAAGGACTCTGGGCAGCTAACAATAAAAAACACATAAAACATAACAAAACAACAGTACAAAGACAATCATCCAGGGGTCAGGTTTTATAAACCCCAGGCCTGCCAGAAAAGCCAGGTCTTAAGTAGCTTACGGAAGACCAAGAGGGTGGGAGCGATCCTAATCTCCGGGGGGAGCTAGTTCCAAAGCGTGGGCACCATCACAGAGAAGGCCCTCCTCCACGGCCCCGCCAAATGGCACTGTTTGGCCGACAGGGCCTGAAGGAGGCCCAGCCTGTGGGATCTAACCGGACGTAGGGAACTATGAGGTAGTAGGTGGTCTCGCAAATAGCCTGGCCCTGAGCCATATAGGGCTTTAAAGGTAATGACCAACACCTTGAATTGGACCTGGAGACCAATAGGCAACCAGTGCAGCTCACGGAGGATAGGTGTAACGTGGGTGTATCGAGGAGTACCCACTATCACTCGCGCGGCTGCATTCTGGACCAACTGTAGTCTCCTAATACTTTTCAAGGGTAGCCCCATGTAGAGCGCGTTGCTGTAATCCAAATGTGAGGTGACAAGGGCGTGAGTGACTGTAAGGAGAGCCTCCCGGTCCAGGTAGGGTCGCAACTGGTGCAATAGGCGAACTTGTGCAAAGGTCCTCCCAGCCATAGCCGTCAATTGATGTTCCAAATTCAGCTGTGGATCAAGGAGGACATCCAAGTTGCAAACCCGCTCCGAAGGGGGTATATTTTCCCCCGCAAGAGTCAACACTGGACAGTTGACATGATCCTTGGGAGGCAACATCCAAAGCCACTCGGTCTTGTCAGGATTGAGCCTGAGTCTGTTAACCCCCATCCAGACCCTCACGGCTTCAAGGCAACGGCCCATCACATCGGCCGTTTCACTGAGAGAGCTCGGGGAGAAGATATATAACTGGGTATCATCAGCATGCTGATGAAACCTCACCCCGTGCTGTCTGATGATCTCACCCAGTGGCTTCATATAAATGTTAAATAGGAGGGGAGAGATGACCGACCCCTGTGGCACGCCGCATTCAAGGGGCCTTGGGGTTGACCTCTGCCCTCCCACCAATACCGATTATGACCGGCCAGAGAGGTAGGAGGAGAACCACCGTAAAACGGTGCCTCCCACTCCCACCCCTTCGAGTCATCGCAAAAGGATACCATGATCGATGGTATCAAAAGCCGCTGAGAGGTCAAGTAGCACCAAGACAGAGGAATAACCTCTGTCTCAGGCCCGCCAGAGATCATCCATCAGCTCATTAAATACTAATTTTGCTGCTTATTCTTGTACTTTAATTTTCCTCATAGAAGAGTTTTAAGGTAAAGAAAATGACTTCTTGGAGAAAAAGCAAGAAAACAATATAATTAATGGATCATATTAAAAAATTCTCTGCCTAGACTTTGGAGAGAGATAGACACACATATGGTCTTTTTTCTGACTTGAGTCTTTTCCACCAGGCCCAGGTTCATGTCTGTATAAAAATCTTGGAACACTTGAGATTAGGACTGTGAATTTTTTAGGTCTGTTCTAAATTGATTAGTTAAATCAAATCTAAACACAACAATATTGAACATTGTACCTGCTTATTCCAAAATAGGTACCTATAAGTAAAAAAACCCATAAGCATCTGCTGTTAAACTGACAATCATAACATCTGTTCAAAAATAATTTTGAAAAAAAGATTTTACAAATAGAGCCCTCAAATTCAAAATCGGCCCCACATGTTTAAACTTTAAATAGACTCAGCATCTGGAACTTTGCTCGTTAAATACTAATTGAATGATCAACCAGAGTGAGCTCAGCTAATCTGAATTTGAATTTGAATTAGGAAAGACCATACAATTTCCGAATGATAACATTATATAGAATAAACATTTTTCATTTATCACTATTCTTCTGTTTATGCATTGGTAACTTAAATCATTTTAAATACAGTGATACTATTTACTTCTATTTTCAAAGCATTATTTGAAAATACTAGGTGATAGATACTATAACAACAAGGATTCTGCCCACTGTGTGCTTTGCTGATTGCTTGTGGTGGTTTCACTCAGTCTGAAAACACAACAGGAAGTTTTACAGCCGAATTTCATTTGGCATATTCATTTCTAATATAATTAAATATATATCAGTAATATCAAATGAATTTTTTCTGACTTGTAATGCAATAAAGTATCTCTTTTTTATCAATATATATTCTTTTCTTTGTATTAATTAAAACATGGAAAATGATTAATAATAATAATAATAATAATAATAATAATGAAGATGCACTGAAATTAGTATATCAGGAAGGCTTACTGACTACTGGAGAGACCAAACTGGCCTACAAGAAAGACCAAATGAAGAACAGAATAGAGGCATGGGAAGACAAAGCTCTACATGGCCAGTACATTAAAAAAATAGCTGGGAAAGCAGATAATAACAAGACCTGGAAATGGCTAAGAGCAGGAAAATTGAAGAAAGAGACCGAGGGACTAATTCTGGCTGCACAAGACCAAGCCTTAAGGACAAATGCATATAAAATCAAAATTGAGAAGACAGCAACAGACAGTAAGTGCCGCCTATGCAAAGAAGCTGAAGAAACAGTGGACCACCTGGTAAGCTGTTGCAAGAAGATTGCACAGACTGATTACAAGCAGCGGCATGACAAAGTAGCAACAATAGTGCATTGGAAGATCTGCAAAAAATATCATTTGCCTGTAAGCAAAAACTGGTGGGATCATAAAATAGAGAAAGTCATAGAAAATGATAAAATTAAACTGCTCTGGGACTTCAGAATTCAAACAGACAAGCACCTGCAACATAACACCCCAGACTTAACAATTGTCGATAAGAAAGACAAAAAAGTCTGGATAGTGGACGTGGCAGTGCCTGGAGATAGCAGAATAGAAGAGAAAGAACTGGAGAAGATAACAAAATACAAAGACCTACAAATAGAAATAGAAAGACTGTGGCAAAAGCAAGCAAGGGTAGTACCAATAGTCATAGGCTCCTTGGGTGCAATCCCAAAACAACTGGAGCACCACTTGAACACCATTGGCATTGACAAATTCGCTATTAGTCAATTGCAAAAGGCGGCCTTGCTAGGAACTGCTTCCATCCTGCGACGATACCTGTAATACCATCAAACATCCACATCTGCCTATTCCAGGTCCTGGGTAAGGACTCGATAGGTAGACAAAACGCCAAATCCAGTCTGAACATCTGGCTGACTGTGCGATGATCCATAATAATAATAATAATAATAATAATAATAAAGTTGGAAGAGACCTTGGAGGTCATTTAGTCCAACCCCCTGCTCAGGCAGGAAACCCTATACCATTTCAGACAAATGGCTGTCCAGTCTCTTCTTAAAATCTTCCAGTGTTGGAGCAATCACTGCTTCTGGAGGCAGGTTGTTCCATTGGTTAATTGTTCTAACTGTCAGGAAGTTTCTCCTTAGTTCTAGGTTGCTTCTCTCATTGATTAGTTTCCATCCGTTGCTTCTTGTCCTGTCTTCAGGCTCCTTGGAAAATAGCTTGACTCCCTCTTCTTTGGGGCAGCCCCTGAGATTTTGGAACACTGCTATCATGTCCCACCTCATCCTTCTCTTCATTAAACTAGACATACGCAATTCCAGCAGCCGTTCCTTATATGCTTTAGCCTCCAGTCCCCTAATCATCTTGGTTGCTCTACTCTTTACTCTTTCTAGAGTCTCAACATCTTTTTTACATCGTGGTGACCAAAACTGGATGCAGTATTCCAAGTGTGGCCTTACTAAGGCATTGTAAAGTGGTATTAATACTTCACGTGATCTTGATTCTATCCCTCTGTTAATGCACCCTAGCATTATGTTGGCCTTTTTGGCAGCTGCAACACACTGCTGGCTCATATTTAAGTGATTGTTCACTAGGACTCTGAGGTCCCTCTCACAGTTACTACTATTGAGCAAGGTACCCCCTATACTATACCTGTACATTTGGTTTTTCTTGCCTAAATGTAGAACCTTACTTTTTTCACCACTGAATTTCATTTTGTTAGATAGTGCCCAGTGTTCAAGGCTGTCCAGATCCTCCTGTATCCTAAGCTTGTCTTCTGGAGTGTTGGCTATTCCTGCCAGCTTGGTGTCATCTGCAAATTTGATGATTTCCCCATCTATCCCCTCGTCCAAATCATTGATGAAGATTCTTTCACATTAACATAATAATAAAATGAGATTAGTAATTTGTGTAACAATTAAAAAGTAAAGAATTTTGTATTTATTTCTTCTGTGTTTCTGCTATAAAATCATCAAGGCAGCATGCAACAAATGAAAAAAAAATGAACACAAAAATTAAAAACTATTCAAAACATTAAAATCAAAATACAACACTAGCAGAAAAATCCTGTTTTTTAGTTGGACCACTACAGTGATTGAGGACTATGTTAAAATAAATGTCACATCAACTGCAGAGTAGGATATTTTTATTTATCTATCTGCCATTTCCCCTCTACCCACAAACCACTGTGGATAGTGAATGGCTTAAATTTTCTTGTAGGTAGGAGATATAGAAAAGTATGAATGGAGTGGGTGGGTTTTATGATCCTTTGGATCCTAAATTCTGCCAGTTTTTCTGGCTGGAGTGTGTCAGCCACAATAAGCCACAATCAAGTGCCATTGTTGCAGGTCCTTTGAAGTAGCAAATTCTGAAACACAAATAGATGACTTCCTGGCTTTGTCAGAACAGAACATATTACCTATTTCATTTGTTGTTGTTAGCTGCAAAGTCATGTCCGACCTATCGTGACCCCCATGGACAACGTTCCTCCAGGCCTTCCTGCCTCTATCATTTTCTGGAGTCCATTTAAGCTCACGCCTAGTGCTTCTGTTGTGGAAAAAACCACGATACTTACATCAGAAGACAAGACCACGAAGGGTTGGAGAAAACAGGCTTTATTTGTGCACAATGGTTCAGAGCATTCACAAGACAGATTCTGAACCCTGAGTTACTCTGAGGGTGTCATTTTTATACAGCTTGCCGCCCACACTTAACCTAATAGATGACTTCTTATCTACCTTTAACACACTAAAAGAGAGAAGTTCATATCTTGAGACAACACACATAGGAAAAAGGGAAGTTTATACAATGTGCAGAAAGCCACACTCCCCTACACGTGTAATATCTTACACCATTTGTGACTTTCGGTTGGCACTTCTTGTAAAAATGTTTCTTCATAGAATTGCACACAGGTCATCACACTCAGCCCGTTAGTAGTATTAGTTAATGCTTTCAAAACATCACCTCTGTTAATTAAAATATAATTCAAAAGTACTTTATTATTTCTCTTAATGGCAATTTTCCATCTACCTCACTTCAGTGACTCCATCCAGTCACCTCAGTCTTTCCCAGCATTAGGCTCTTCTCCAGTGAGTCCTTCCTTCTCATTAGGTGGCCAAAGTACTTGAGTTTCATCTATTTCATATTAAAGTAATAAAAAAAATAAATATTAAAAACCATACTTTGAAGCTTCTTTAAAAAGTGTGTGTGTGTGTGTGTGTGTGTGTGTGTGTGTGTATTCTTTGTGTGCAGATGGTGAAGAAAATATACTAATGCTCTTTCTTTCTCTCCACACAGAATGTAGACAAGTGGTCATTTGATGTATTTGCATTAAATGATGCTAGTGGGGATCATGCACTAAAATTTATTTTCTATGAACTGCTCACACGCTATGATTTGATCAGTCGTTTCAAGGTTGGTAGTCTAATACTTTTTCCTTTCTCCTATTCCATAGATTATTGAAAAGTGACATATCAGTAATTTATATTTCTGGAGTTTTTGTCATTGTTATTTTCTATTTTGGCTACTGTTTGCAATGTATTGTCCTCTGATTTTCTTAGATTGTTCTTATTATTGTAATAAACTAAAATTGGGCAATTTCAGAAATCTATGACTCCATTATACATGGAATGAAATTAGTAGTATTAAAAGGCTTTGCCAAAGGAAGACTTCCCACAAAATTATGGCCCATCCACATCATGCTTTTTGGCTTTATTATTTTCAATACTCTTTGCTTCCTATTCTTATCCAGGTTATTTGTGGCTTATTTCTCCCCCATTCTAAATTTTGAATTCTATGTGTGGAGAAGAAAATGAACACACTCCAAGGAGTACTTGCAAGGAGCTTTACTTGCAAGGATTTAATTAATATAGGTAGGACATATGTGCAAACACACCTATACAAAAAAAAAAGGTCACAATCCTTTGTTTGTTTTGATAGCTTGTTTCCAAAGAGGTATAGATGGCCAAAGTTCAATGTGAGTTCCAAAAGGCCAGACATGGGTTGTTGGTCCAAGTTCCAAGTAGCACAGTTTCCACAGGCAACAAGTACCTGTTCCTTACTTAGCCATATGGGCTCTAAGACTGTCAAGAGATCCTGCATCCAATTCTTCATCTCTTGCTGCCTGTGACTGACTTATATATTCCGTGGTCTTGACAACCTCTAATAACTGATTGCAGACTCCCCCTGAAACTGAAATTCATACAAAACCTTTTCAATGACTTATTCCATTTCAGTCTCTTCTGAATCTGTTCATCTCACTGATGAGCTTTCATTTTTAGTGGCATGGCTTTGAGTGTGATGTTGATTTGCAAGGAATAGGGAGCACAATGTTTCACCAGTCATTATATTGATATCTCATTTTCAATAGAATTATTGTGTGTTCTCTAATGGGGAAATGCAAAAGCTATAATAATATAAATATGATTAATTAACATAAGTGGTTGTTCCATAAAACCATCTGCATTTTGGGTAACAAGAGTATTATTTGGCTTCATAGCCATTATAGGAAGTAAAGGAAAAGAACTTAATTCTTCACAGATCCCAGACAAGTGCTTTTGTTATCATTCTACATGAAGGATTTAATCCTTTGTTATGACTGTTTATCCTTCCCCTCTCAATACATCCCAATTTCTATTATCATATATGTATGATAATAGATCAAACAGCATTTGTTTATTTGTTTATTTATGGGTAGCAGGAACATACAATAAATGTCTACAGAATCTGAAGCTTAAATAATATAGCAAATACTTCATGCAAAAATGTCCATATTACTCCATAAAGCAAAATAATAGAATACTTTCTTTATCTGCAATAGGAATTGAGCAGAATTTGTGATTACCGTGAATACTGTCATTGACTTCATAACTACAGTGAACCAAATACAATTCTAGAGAGGTGCAAAACTCATTTAACAACTACAGTGTGACTTACCCCACAATACTGGAGAGATTGTTTATCCTTTATCCTCCTTTATTTTTTATTAGTGAACCATTAGAACTATTATCAGTGAAAATATCATGAAGTTATAAAGTCTGGAACTAAATTAGGAACTCAAGGACATGAACTGAAATTATATGGTAATGATGTTGTACTTACAATTCCCCAACTGAAAGGTTATTTATTACTGTTAATAAAAGATATGCAGCAATATTGTCTTATATGGATTAATGAAGAAGAAACTCTCTTTGCCTTCAGAAGAGACTGATCAATAACTGCATTCTCTTTTAATTATGAAATTCCATGGAACATTATAATGAAGATCCAAATTGGTTCTCAAGGGCATTCTCTATTTTTTTCTTTCTTATCTTTTGGAAAAGGGGTAAAGCGGGGCTACTGTATATTTGGGTGACCATTCTTCTTAATTTTTATATAAATTTTCTAATGCAAGCCCAATATTAGAGTTTCATCATCCTATATTGGTTAGAAAATCTTTTTGGTTCTAGTTATCATGGTGACATGGCCATCATCGTAAGTGATCCCTTGGAGGAATTGCTTTATTGTGAAGAGAGTGCCTCAATATCAATTACAGTAAAAGTAAAGTATTCTCCATTATACATTGCCACTCTTAGAAAATTGATGGAATTTATGTTATTCAAACTAACTCATTCAAATCTCTTGGACCATTTTTTAATATCTTGGCATCTTGGTATGAAGAAATAAGGAAAAACTCTCTTCCAAAAAACAAAATAAGTATTAAATGTGAATATGTAATTTTTAAATTTAAAGATTTAGGTGGAAACACAATATATATATATATATATATATATATATATATATATATATATATATATATGTGTGTGTGTGTGTGTGTGTGTGTGTGTGTGTGTGTGTGTGTGTGTATGTGTATGTGTATGTATATATACACATACACACACAAATATATTATAAATAAAAATACGAACACCAGGAGAATATAAATATAAAAATATACTTTACTAAAAGCTGCCAAGCTTTCGTTTGGAAACTCCAAACATCATCAGGGCTAAGGAGCCAGTAAACAATGATGACTTAAATGGGTTTTGCCGGCATCTGCACCCGGCTCATGGACCGCGTCACCGGTCCCGGCCGGTTAATTAGTGTTCCAGATGTTTCTTTATTACTCTCCTTATGCTTCCTTCTATGGTTCTTCCGGATTGTTCCTTCCACTATCTCATTACTGGCATTCATCTCCTCCATCACCCCTTTATCCTTATTTCCTTCCATAGTACTGACCCTCCTCCCCTTTTTGTTTTCATTTTCCACCCTGGGGGCATCTGTTTCTCCTCTATCAATGTTACAAGCTTCCCTGGGCTCACAGACGCTCTCCCACACACATGCTTTTCTCAATCCCTGCTCCACATCCTTTCTTCTCACTCCTCCACTGTCATAAGTAACTTTCATACGGGTGTTGCATATTTGGGGGTCTATGCCCTCCTCCTCCGTCCTGGCAATCTTCGTGTCGACAGTTCTCCACCGTTCCATTTGTTTGCTGCGTGATCGGGTGCTTACTCCGTCTCTCAATTCATCATCCCCCCTCCTCCCTATCGCATGCTCTTCCCCATTGCTGATAGGAACGGTATTCAGGTGGACACCAGGTCTCCAGATCTCTGCCTTCTGATTCCCTGCGTTCTCACTCTCCTCTCCTGTGCTCGTCTTTGGGGGGACTTCAAAGTATTCGTCCCGGAGGGGGCTGTATTGTTGGTGGGGGTATTCCTTGTCTGCAGGGGGTCCAGACAGAACACCGTGTCTCTCCCTTTCACCGTATGCCTAGGCAATCGAGCCGTGCTTTCGTTCTTCTTCTCCCCCCTACCCACAGCGTGAGGCTGCAGACTCCTCATGCTGGATCTTCCACACTCTCCAAAGTTATTGTTAAGTTCCAGGGGTGGGGGTCTATCGTGGTGATATTGGGGAAGGGGGAGGTCTTCCATTGGTGGATGATTACGTGTGTTTGACAGTGGTGTTGATCGGGCGAAACGGGGGTGCCCCTGGAGTGTCGAGGGTTAGCCAAAGTTCCATCTATCTGTTCAGGATGGAGGCCAGGTGTCTTGTCACATTTACAGCTGTACAAGCATTGTTCAGACCGCTTATAATGATTGGCATGGTGTTTAAAATCCCATTTCCTCAATGCTTGTTGTGCTGGATGTAAGTCAATGTGACGATTCACCGCATCGTTGTTGGAATACCATGCCTCTTTCAATAGCCGGCCTCCCTTAGTGGCATCCTCAGACATAACGCGAACATTCACAAAGTCAAACTGGTGGCCATGTTGTGCCATATGCATCCACAATTGAGAATGCTGCTCGCCCCTTCTTATAGCTAACTGATGTTCATGCAAGCGAGATCTTAAACGCTTAGCTGTTTCACCCACATAACTGCCATCGCAGTTCTTGCAATTGATTTTATAGATTACTGCTGATCTATCCATGGCAGGGAGTGGGTCCTTGGGGTGAACGACTTTGGACCGTAATGTCTGATTGGGTCTGTGGGCCACTTCTATTCCATTGGGGGCCAGCAGTCTGGCTGTTGCTTCCGAGACGTTATTAATATATGGCAAAGAGACACGCATTCTTTGTAATAATGGTTCCTCTCTCTTTTCGTTGTTCCGGGACTGGGGTGTAAAACCGTACTGTCTGATAAACCTCGTTGACAAATCTGGAAGAGGTATTGCCTTTCTTTCTTCTTAAACTCCTCAGTGCTGCAGTGGGAGTCCACGCGCTTAAACAATGCTTTAATGCAGCTAGCTTTATGAGATACGGGGTGGTTGCTCCTATAGTGGAGTATTCTGTCCGTGTGGGTGGGTTTATGAAACACCCCTGTAAGTAACGTCCCATCCAACTGGTGGTATATTGACACGTCCAGGAAGGCTAGTTGACCTTGTTTTTCTTCCTCCACTGTAAACTGGATGTCGGAGCAGATCGAGTTTAGTACTCTCATAAAGGTAGCTACATATTGTTTTTTAACAACCGCAAACGTGTCATCCACGTACCGAACCCAAAATTTGGGTTGGTATAAGGCCATAGCCCTGTGTTCTAGCTGTTGGAGTACTATTTCCGCTATAGTGCTAGAAATGGGGGAACCCATAGGTGTCCCTTTAACTTGTTCGAAGATGGTACCCTGGAAGGTGAAATAGGTGGTGAGACATATTTCCACTAATCGCAGGAGGTCATCTGTCTGAAGGGAGTCCTGGTGGTGGCTCCATTCTGTATTCCTCAAGCGCTCTCCCAGGGCTGAAATAGCTAAGTCCTGGGGGATGGAGGTGAAGAGGGAGGTAACGTCGAACGATACCATTCTCTCATCATCCTCCACCCTAAGGGTCTTAATTCTGTTGAGGAATTCTTCTGCAGAATTGACTGTTGTGGGGCTACCTTCCACAAGGTGGCCTAGACGAGTGCTGAGCCACTTCGCTAATCCCGATGTAGCGGTACCTATAAATGACACAATAGGGCGAAGTGGGGTGCCTTCCTTGTGGATTTTTGGGAGCCCGTAAAATCTAGCAAGCGCCGTGTCACGGGGGCGTATCTTCTTTAGGGTATCATCTCTGATTTTCTTACTGTGTTTAAGATTATTAAGCAGTTTGTTGATTTTATTCCTAGGGGTAACTGAGGGATTCTTCTCAACTATTCTATAGGCTGTTCTATCATTGAGGAGTTCGAGCACCTTGGTGGTATACAGCGTCTTGTCCATGACAACGGTCACCCTCCCTTTATCTGCTGGGAGTATAACAATGCTATCATCTCTTTTAAGTTGCCGAAGGGCTTGGGTTTCATCCCTAGATAGCACGTGATGGTATCTATGGCTTGCAAGCAGCCCAGTGACCTGTTGTCTTATCGAACTCTTAGTATCTTCATCCCCCCCTATGTTGTACATAGCTGGCTCTAGGGCCGCTATGAAATCTAAAGCACTAGCGTCCATCAGGTTATGGCCTATATCACACTGCAGCAAGGTGAGTTATGAATGGGTAAGTATTTTAGAAGAGAGGTTACAGACCAGTCCACCCATAGAGCTGTTACTATATTTTAACTTACGTAATGCGTTCATCTTGTGACTGAGACGTGTTGCTGTTTCTTGTCTCGTTTTCTTCTCCACCATCTCAATATGGTGAATCAATTCTTGGAGGTGATGTCTTGATAACATGGCCTCACATTGCCTTTGGCAGTCTTGGACCCATTGTTTCAACGCTCCGACTCGCCTATGTTGGTCGTTAATGAGGGCCCGTGTAGTCTTGCGTTGAAATTGGTGGATGGCTTGTTGGCATTCGATGGAGTCAATTATGGGTTTCTTCCTCAATGATTTAAGTGGCAGGTTTTCTCGGATGCAGGAGTGTAGGAACGCTATTTTACGATAGCTTGCTGAAATACGGCATGTCAATTTCTCCCATTTTCTGGCTAGAAGCAAAGCTGCTCTGTCCTTAGCCCTGATGATGTTTGGAGTTTCCAAACGAAAGCTTGGCAGCTTTTAGCAAAGTATATTTTTATATTTATACTCTCCTGGTGTTCGTATTTTATTTGTATCATAGACATGCCCAGGAGTCGTATTTTTCCAGCATATATATATATATATATATATATATATATATATATATATATATATATATAACAATGTACTTCCAATTTATAAATGAGTTAACCCATGATCTAGAGTAATTCAATCATTATTATATAATCATATCTCTCCATAACCAGGATAATGGTTAATAATTATATATTATTGTAATTTAAATAATATAAAATTAGTTTTATAATGTTACAATGAAGGTATTAAATTTTTAATAATTTTTTTATGCTGCATCTTTCTTGTAAGGTGTCTCTGAGCAGCTTAATAGATATAAAACAAAAAGAAAAATAACTAAAATATTAAAACTACACAGATTAAAATTTTAAAAACTATATTGAAACTAAAACAGGACAGGGATGAAGTTTTTTTTACCCTGTCAATCACCTATTATCCATAGATTAAACATTTTAATTCTGAAAGAAAGTGCCGATATGTTGCTTTTAATTTGTATTTATTAATATTAGTGAGGCATAGAGCACATTATATAACTCAAAGAAGATACAATTGGGTGATGGCATTTGCTTTAAAGAATGTCAGAATTTTCAAGCACACGAAACACTGCTGATGAAAAGTTTGGTAAAGTTAAATCAATCTATTACTGTGCTAAAGTTGTTCACAATCTACCCTCTTTTTTATATATATAGATTCCAATTTCTGCTCTTGTCTCCTTTGTGGAAGCTCTGGAAGTTGGCTATAGCAAGTATAAAAATCCATACCACAATCTAATGCATGCAGCAGACGTCACACAGACTGTTCATTACCTCCTTTTTAAGACAGGTGTAGCAGTAAGTAGACAAAACACTAATCAATTAAGAGACCAATATGAAAATAGTTATGCTATTGATCATGGCAATAAAATAGGTTTGAAGGTATTTACATCACAACTAAAATTTGGGTTTGCTAAAGTAGATCTTTTTCCAAGCACTTTTATCTTTATTTAATATATAGCATTAAGTTGTTATTGACTTAGTGAGGGTAAGTTTTTTATTAATTAAGACTATTTGGATTATAATTTGATGTTTCAACATATGTTAGAAACTTTTCTAACAATATTGTTAAACTTCAGATTTTAGGTTTGTAGACTTACTAAATGTTCAGGTAAATGAAGATAACTTTATTAATTAAACTCTTTTATTAAGTTAGGTAGATGGTCAATCCAAAATATAAATGCCGTTCTATTTCTTATAGAATATACACTTTAATATATGGTAATTGTATCACAAATCTGTTAAAACTGCAGTCAGCAACTAATATGAGAAAAAATTACATATATTCGTCTGAACCTGTATTGCTGCTCAAGCTACAAAGAGTCCTACTCTCTACATCTACAGCTCTTTCTTTATTAATATTTATCACTGTGACTTTCCCACAAACTATTCCTGATAATCCTTAAGAAGATAATGCCTCAAGTTTGATGTAGGGTATGTTAGGGATATATACTGAGTAGAAAATATGTTTGGGACAAAACAGCTTATGTTTCAATGAACAAAACTTAAAACACTTTGATTTTAGAAAACAGTGACAACTTGGAACAAAATCATTAAAGCAGCTGGGCAGCACATGCTGCTTATTACTCACTACTCAACCAACAGGAACTTTGGCCAAAATGTTGATTATTTAAAAAAAATAAAATAAATTCCTATAATCAGCTATGGAAGAGGCAGCTTTTACTTTTGTATCCTATGTATGTGTACCTACTTTAATATAAATAGCTACAAAATCATATTATTACAGGAATGCTACTAAAATTAGGACAATGGCAATTTTAAAAAAAGAATTAGAGTTATAATAAACCAATAAACTAGTATTTAAATACTTTCTGAAACTCAGCATAAATAAATTCATTAGAGACACAAAAACTACACAATAATTTAACTATACCAGACAAAATAGATAGTTCCCATTAAATCTTTATGTTTAATGGGATTGGGGTTTATGGGGAGGGCAACATGGCTCAGTGGTTAAGATTTTAGCTTGTCAGGTTTGAGACCCAACCTCCACACCACAGGGTGAGCTCCCATCTTTGCCCCAGCTCTTGTCAACCTAGCATATCGAAATATACAAATGCAAGTCGATAAATAGGTACCACTTCGATGGGAAGGTAACAGCTCTCTGTGACATTACCCATGCCACATGACCATGGAAATGTCTTTGGACAGCACTGGCTCAATGGTCTTGAAACAGAGATGAGTACTACCTCCTATAGGTGGCAATGACTAGTGGAGTAAAATCCACAGGGACTCTTTTACCTTTTTTATTGGGCTTTAAATAATAATAATAATAATAATAATAATAATAATAATAATAATAATAGTAGTAGTAGTAGTAGTAAAGTTGGAAGGGACCTTGGAGGTCATCTAGTCCAACCCCCTGCTCGGGCAGGAAACCCTACACCATTTTGGACAAATGGTTGTCCAGTCTCTTCTTAAAAACTTCCAGTGTTGGAGCATTTACTGCTTCTGGATTCTAGATAAGAGTCTTGTTTATGATCAGCCATCCAAAATAATGCCTAATATCAATACTTTGACCCAGGTGAATCAGTGAGTACATCTGCCTCTGTAGGTATGCTTTTGAAACTACAGTTTTTCCCTAATCACCCTAACCTCCTCACTATCTCCAATTCCAGTAGGAATAGCAAGAATAAAATCAGTATTAGTTAAGTTGGCATAAGGGAGTTCAATAATAACCTTAAATAAGGAATGCAAGGATGGTTACAATAACATTAGTTTAGCCATGAAAGATAGGGGGGAGAGAGAAAAACACTCAAATTTCCCTGCCTTGACTTCCTTTGGTATATGAGGTAGAAGAAAAAAAAATCTGTCAGGTTTTCAAAATTCTATTATTATATCCTACAAACATATTGTTCCTGTAGTTATGATATCTGCCTCCTGACATAGCCTATGCTAAAGGCCTGACAGTTGCGATGTTCTAATGCTCTCCTCCCAGCTGTTGGAATAGAATATCAAAACAATATGATGAAAAATGACTATTTTGATTCAAGAATGTAATAAAACCAATGCATGGTCTCACAAATTTGGAACAAAACACATGTAAAAAGGACACATAGTATAACTGTTTCAAGCTGAGAAAGTTTTGTATATCCTTAATACCTACCATGGAAGCAAAATATCCGGTAATACTTTAGAAACTCACAAATGTAGCAGATTTTTCCACGAATATAGTTCACTTAACAAAGTAGATTAGCAGAAATCAGGAAATCCATTAAAATGTACAGAATATGAATATTTTTACATTCTCAAATATTACAAACCCTTTAAAGTTTTTTACTACAACAACCAAATAATATATAGCTGTTTTTCTGGAATCATAATGACTTCCATTTTATATATATATAAAATATAGTTGTGAATGAAGGAATAAAGTGAAAAAGGTCACATTCAAAATATACTATGGCAATTGCTATATTTCATGAAATGATTTTAAATTATTTACAGTCAATGCATTTTAAAATGCATTCAGCAACAACAGAACCTCCACACAGGAAAAAATATAACCAAAGCTTTAATCAAACAATATTTTCTCTTGTTTTAGAAGAGTCCTGCATTCACCATCTTTTTACATTTCTCATAATTAACTGTGAGATGTAAAAAGATGCTGAATGCAGGGTTCTTGAATACAGAATATAACTTTAAACTGGGCAATTAAGACCCTAACTGTGAGAATGTTATGTTGGAGCCAATTTCTGTCAGTACATTTTGACTGAAGCAAAATGTTTGCTTTAAAGCTAAGTGTAAACAACTACATGATCTTATTCTGTAAAACAACCATAGGTGTGCAGCTGTCTACCTCCTGATTGGTAGTTACCTCTTTGTTGGAAGCAAGAAGTCACTGAGGCAGCAGGGAGACTATATCATTTTAATTAGTAATTTCAGAGTGGGAAGGCAGCTGTCATTGTCTTCTGGTAGAGAATTGGAAATGCAAATTTTTTAAAAAAGAGATGGTAAGAACCAAGGTAATCAGAGTCATGGACATCTTTCAAATATTAAGTTGATATTTATTTATCAAGTTAAAGCATGAATAGTAGAGAATACTATTCCTCCTGCCAGATTAGGAGGAAGAGATCCCTGTGTGTGTGCAATTATACAGATATAATGTCATGCATGCATCAGGAGAAAGAAAGCTTGTCGTTATATCTCATTGTTTATATTCCACATATGTGAGAAAGGTCTGAATTTTACAAGAGCCTCATACTGTAATGTGGAGAAATTAAAAACTTCTCTAATTAATCTGTTTCCTAGATCTGTATACACATTAGAAAATGGGTGTTGGAGCTCTGATTATTATTAGGTGTAGAACTCTGCTTTACACAAATGGGTTTTTCAGCTGTGGTGATATCAGCATAGTGCTTTCAGATCAGAGTATCATACTTTTCCGGTCTATTGTTCTTTATAGATTATTTCCTTCTTGTTCAGATTTATTGAAAATTATTTGACTACATAATTTCATGCTAAATCTGCAAAAAATATCCAGAAGAGGAGACCAACTGAAAACATATCTTTGAACTTCTTTCAAAGTTTTTCTTCTCTATTTAAAATCTAAGCATAGCTTTTACAAAACGTAACGATTAGATATCTTTAAATGGTGGGATTTTTCAAACGTTTATTGAAAAACAGTACATGGCTAAGCACATTGAAAGTGTCCTGTCTGTTTTGTGTTTTGTTTTGCTTTACTTTTAGAAAAGGTATTCCAGATACAGCAAATTCTGAGTGAGTTCAGATAAGTTTTTTTCCCTATAGTCAATGACTTTTTTATCATGATGGTGATAATAATCATAAGGATAAGACAGCTAAAAAAAATTACTATTTGAAGGAATTTTTATATATAATTTATTTATTTAGCATATTTATATAGTCATCCATCTCACAAACGCACAATTCTGGGTGGTATAAAACATATTCCTATGTATACCACACAAAAAAATCCAATTTATTTGTTTGAGATTATTAGTTTGGGTTTACTAAATAAGAAAGATTATAGTATGCAAATTTGGTTGGCTACTATTAGGTAAATTCTATTAGATACTATGTTACTTAATACAAAATAGAAGTCTGTTCATGTGCAAAACCAAAACATGGCAATTTGTCAGTGATTTCTGTCTCCAGTCCATGAAAACTTAAACTCCTTAAAAATTATAAATTGGAAGATATAAGCCATCCTAAAGGCAATGCTACCCATGTGTCTGAATTAAGTCTCTGGAATTTTCTGAAAACCAACTGAAAAAAAGTATTTGTCATATCAGATGGTTAGATTGCAAGATGCAAGACTTAATATGGGAAAGTGAATTTTTCTTCTTTAACAGGGTGTTCTGGGAAGGGTTTAAATCAAAGCTGATTTTTCTATACATATCTAAGAAAGTTTTTAAAACTGTTAATTTCAGCTAGGTTTGAGCAACAAATATTTTTCCTGGATAGTTCTCTTGCTAACTTTTGTGATTTTCAAATTTAAACCGAAGTGTGCTCACATTATTTTAAGTGAACTAGATGCTACTTTACAGAACAACATATTGTTCTCTACTCAGATATATATCCAGTGTCATGATAGCAACAAATAAAAAATATCAATCAATCATATTTTTTCTGATTTACATTTGCTTCATCAGCTTTTGAAAGTTTTTTTAATTATGAACAACTAACCCTGAAATACTCCTTGTAATTAACTCTACAAAGAACATTGAATAATTAATATTAAATAACATTTTTAAGATTAAAGATGGGAAAGACCAAAAGAATGGGAATATTGTCAAACATTCTCAAGGATAAGTTACAAGTTTTCAAATATTTGCGATTCAGTTTTTCAGTAGTTGGGAATGGGTGGAGAAGAAACTGGACAAAAATATTCAGAGTTTATTTTACTGTCTCATTAGAATTTGAAGTTCTTGAACAGTTTGTGTGGTGCCCCAAGAGTAAAATTCTGAAATATCAAGATTGCCTGTAGACAATAGCACAGCAATTGAGAATAATAATTTTTAAAATTCTTCATTGTTATTCAGGAGCTGCATCAGTGATAATCTTAATAAAAGATATTAGATTCAAACATTATTGGCCTTACTAAACAATAGTCTATTTAAACTTTGCAATATTATATATTATCTGATTTTTCAAAATCTTTTTTTCAGCACTGGTTAACAGAACTGGAGATTTTTGCTATGATTTTTGCAGCTGCTATCCATGACTATGAGCACACTGGAACTACAAACAACTTTCATATTCAAACAAGGTGAGTGCTGAAAGATGAGCTATGATCAAGCAAAACTGGAGAAAGGTTGAAATGGAGTTTGCAAAATCAGTTTAATAGTTTTAGATATTATGTCAATATACCTATGAGGTATATTTGCCATTAAATTGCTAAGTCAAAACTTCATTAGTGTACTTTCAGTTTTTCTTCTCACAATTTCAGATTTTGGCTATCAAAATAAAGTTCCAGGCAGGTCATAAAATTGTAGTTAACAGTTTTAAATACGGCAATATAATTATATATATTTAGAAGCTGGAATGATAATTTATGATATATTATCACATATATAAACCTCATATCTACTTTCATGCTTCTTCATATTTAATTTCATATAATTTATTCATGTCTGATGTCACAACATTTTGGTTTTTGTCAACCTCTTTAGTGGCATCTAGTTGAGATGATTTTCCTCTCTTTGCTATGTTTTTTTCTCCATTGAGTGCTGTAATATGTGTTCTGAATTTCTATTTTCATTTGTTAGTTAATAAAATACTAAACCTATTATTTATATTTTATAATCTAAAATAAATCAAATAATAAATAATATTACATTATGAGTGGCTTTTATTTATTAATAGACTGATGGGGATGATATTGAAATTTGAACACAGGTTTGTAACATCTTTCTGTCATGCTAGAGTAGTTCTTTCACAACACCTTGATATTTGGCTTTTAGAAAAAATGCACAGAAAAGAAACTTAATTGCATTTGTGCAGTCTCTGTCAACATACATATGCCTATTGATGATGTAGAAAGCACAAACAGCTACAGATGAATGAAAAAGGTTTTATGCTGTCTGTAAAATACATAATTAAAATTAAAATATATAATTACCATTAATTCAGAAGCAATAGAAGATAAACTGCAAATATATAATGTTGGCAACAGTTTAGGTGAGGACAATTTTAGAAATTGAGTTTATATTTGATGGAATTCAAAAGGAAACAATGAACAGATCATGACATGAGAAAAAGGATATATAAGTAAAACTATGACAGCAGTTTGGGAATGGAATAAATTGCTTGTTAAAGACTTAACAGGTAGAAGCTGCTAAACCATCAGTTGCACTGCCTGATATTCTGTTTTGAGCTAGATAATCTCAAGGCTCCTCCAATCCATTATTCTATATTCAAAGGTAAGTAGTTTATGTTTATTTGAATATAAGTAATTTCAAGAGGAAAATCGAATACTACCAAATTTGCAAGAAAATTAATTTCAGAGCAATTTAACCCATCAAATTTCATACAAAACTGATCAGAAATTTTGAAGTCATACTTTTTTAAATTGTAGGCTATTACAATCTTTTTATTTTTTTCTCTGAAATAAAGATAAAATCTACAAGTTAGCAAACCAGATTGTGGTTGTGCTATACTGAATAAAAATCAGTGTTGGTTTTTCAGGTTATGTGGTCTTTTGTCTATACTTACCTGGACTGTTCCACTGTTTTGCCTGTGCTAGGAGTCAGATAGTTTTCTGTTTATATGGAACCTCCCCCCCTCACAGTGCAAGTGTGAATACATGCACAACCACCCACCCACCCACCCACACACACACACAAACACACACACTTATTGATAGACACTAAATGGCACTGGGAGGTAGAGGGAGAAATCAATTGGACATATAAAAGATAGGAATCAACATAACAATAATGTTTATAATTGTTTACAATTAAAGATACAGTTAGAACTAAAACTAAATGACAAACAAATTAGAACGAGGATAAAAGATAAGTTAAAAGACAGAGGGAGATTTCTCAGACCATCAACATCCTCAAAGTTGTATACCACTTTTTGATAACCATGCAGATTGGGAAAGCCAGGTCTTCATGTTTTTCTGGAAGGCCAGAAAAGTAGGGATTGACCTCATTTTGGGGCGGGAGGGGGCGAGATGTTCCATAGGGCAGGAACAATATTAGATCAAGCTCTCTTCATGGATCCAGCCAGGCAAAATTCTTCAACTGATGGGGTTTGTAATATATCCTCTCTGCTTGACTTCTTAGGACAGGTGACTGTAAATGGAACGAGATATAATCCCATGCCACCAACGGCTTTTAAGATGATAACCCACACATTAAATTGGGCCAGGAAGCAAATTGGAATATTCACAACATCCCTTAATTCACTCAGGATGGAGATACACAATTGGGTATCATTTGCAAACTAATAATGCCTCAACCTGTGGTTTTACCTTGTATAGATGATTTTACTCATGTAGTGCCAAAAAAGAGGAGGAAGAGAGCACAAATTCTGATGCACTTACAAAGAAAGGCTGTGGGTCACTTCCCAGCAACACAGTGCAGACCCAGATTCAGAGTAAGGAGGTGAATCAGCACAGATCAGCACAGATCTTTGCCACAAACTCTCAACTCCAACTGTGGATTATTGATTATCAAAAGCCACTAAGAGGTCAAGAAGAGTGAGGATGAATACACTAGCTCAATTAGAATAAAATTAAAGAGGAAATGCCAATAAATAGGGTAGACACACTTTTATCTATCTATCATTTATCTATCATTTATCTATGAGCAGGGGAAGAACTCAAATATTACCGAGTCCTGAACAGATGATTTAAGCATATATATATATATATATATATATATATATATATATATATATATATATATATATATATATATATATATATATATATAAGATGAGATAGGAACTGGCAATGGAACACAAAAATGGCAGGTAGACCAGCAGCCTAACAGGGAGAATAAAAAGGAGAAACTCCGTGACAGGACTTGTGTAGTGCCGAATCGGAGGAGGCACCTTGCATTGGGTAGAGAGGAGGGATTGAGGAGTGTGTTGGTGATAACAGCACAGGGAGGGGGAGACGGCACAAGGATGACAGAGCAGAAAAATACAATGATAGAGTGCAAAAAAGAGAGGGCGGAACAGTTAAGGCAGTTACAGGCAATCAGGAAGAGTGGCCCTGTCACGAGGGCAATGAGTAGGCAGTTGGATCAGCAAGGGGATAAAAAGAACTTTCCCACCCCCTAAGCCCCACTCTGAGGACGCTGGCAAAGGACCAGTGAAAGCTAAGTTGTTTTAACCTTGTATATAACTGTTTTTATTGTTTTTAAATGTTGTTTTAACAATAAATAACTGGAGTATACTCTTCCCGGAGATCAAAGATTGCATCATTGAACATATATAGTCATGAAACTGATAAACTGATGGACATATGATGAATATTAGAGAATAATATTCAGTACTTTAGTGAAAATGTGACAACAGTAAATGTCTGGTTTTGATGGAACAAGTTAGTATTCACACTGCAGTCTTCACATTCTTCTAGTTACCAAGTGTTTCTCTTGTTTAAGTGGTTATAGTTTTGAGCTTGGATAGAAGGAAGTTATGTTGAAACCCACTTAGCTGTGAAATATACTGTATGGCCTTGCGGAGATCTTTCACAATGAACCTTCATACAATGTAGTTATAAGTTTAATATCATGCAATGAAAAATGATTCTTTCTTTTTCATCATAGACTGTTAAAAACATATAAAAATGCAAAATAAGTATAGTAATAGTTGTTCTGTTAATCCCATTATTTACTGCCTTCTAGTCACCTAGAAATACAGTAGATATAATCTTAATGTTAATGGGATTTACCTCCGAATAAAAATGGTTTTATGGAATTTTTTTAGTGTAATCTAGCAACTTGATTTATTCCACAGCATTCTGAGGGAAAGGGACAATAATCTCAAAAAAAAAAAAAAAAAAAAGGAAAAAAAAGCAGGTTGTACTTTTCCCGAAATACCTGAGAATAATTTGTCTATGGAGATTCTCAGTCATTCAGATCATGATTGTCCCAAAGGTGCTTTTTTCAAAAGGCAAGTGGACTTTGTTTTTCCTTGAAGACATTTCACTTCTTATCCAAGAAGCTTCTTAGAATAATTTATTAAATACATATGAAGTGGGGAAAAACTCCACTGGCCTGAAAGACTTAAAATGGAATTTGGTTCTCTCATCAATTTCTTACAAAATAATAAATACTAGAAATGAATAATTTGGTCCTGCACAATAATATTTTTAGCTATAGCTAGAAGAATAAAGCCAATCATATAAGAATGGACTTTTTTGCTTTATAGATCAGATACAGCCATTCTGTACAATGATCGATCTGTGTTAGAAAATCATCACCTCAGTGCAGCATTTCGACTTTTGCAAGATGATGAGGAGATGAACATTTTGTCTAACCTCTCCAAAGATGATTGGAGGTAAGAATGCTCATTGTCAACATGATTGTTCTGGGTATTAAATGTACTCAGTGGGACCTTGATTCACAGGCACACAGCAGAAGATAGTTTGTTATCAGTTAATGTGAGAAGCTGTTGAGAGGAAATGTATATTGAAGTAATTCAACTGAAATATAAATCATTTTAAAGAATGCCATAACAATAAATCTTTGGTGCTGTTGTGGCACCTAGTAGGGTTGATGTTGCCAAAGAATGGCAGGAAAACAAAACAGAACAAAAAAATTACATCTGGCCAGTGAGATAAAATGTTGAATTATCCGAAACAATATTTGTTTGTTCAATTATTATCCAAAAGTGCAATGTATTTCAAGAAAAAATACACCTTCTTCAGCAGCCATAAGAAAAACAGCAAGATCAAACATGGAAAATTGTATATTTTCTCATATTAGTTTACATGGAAGGTAAAGAAAAAAAAAGCTTTTTAAACATGAGTGCAATTTTCATCTCAAAACTTACAGAATTTGTTTGTTTCTTTATGTAGACCTTTTGATAAATCATCATTAAAATACTTTAATGGCAACCATTAAATGTTTTTTAGCTGCTTATAGCTAAAAATAAAATCCTAGGCTAGATTGCCATCCTTGCAAGATAGTCCAAAGAATAAGCACACCCAGATATACTGTATTAGTTATACTAACACAGGAGTAGACAACCTTGGCTCTTTTATGACTCGTGGACTTCAACTCTCAGAATTCCTGAGCCAGCATGGCTGACTCAGGAATTCTGGGAATTGAAGTCCACGAATCATAAAAGAGCCAAGGTTGTCTACCCCTAACAGAATCTGGCAAGTCTGAAAGTATATTTCCCTCATCTCTTTTACAAGCCAAGAAACTAGGGAGGGTCTCTTCTGATATGTTTACCATGCACATATTCCTCGTCTTACCCAAGCATTCCTTAGCTTCAGTTCTTCCCCCATCTCCCAAGATCATTCCCATATACTTGCTGTGATCCAGTGCTTTCCTATCAGCATACATTTAGTAATACAAAATTGATGAAATTTTCAGTACTCATTAGGATGCTCCTGAACCTCACTAGAAGATTTATAAGTAGGATCATTAGTCCTGAATATATAATCAACCTAGGCTATCATTCAACAAACATGAATATTGTTAATTCCAACAGAAATTATTATTTTATTTATATCTTTTTGTGTCTATTTGTCTGCAAGAGCAAGTATCCTGATACATGTGCTTTTATTAACTGCTATAGTTTCTGTTTTTGAGGATTTCTTTTTCGACTTATAAAGTACATTCCTACGGATGGATTTCATTTGAATGTTTTCACTTCCTCAGACATTCAGTTTAGTAACTGAAATCTCAAATTGTTGAAATCACCAATCATATTTGAGAAAATAATCATGTTGATTAGTGCCATATTACTTTTTTTTCTGTGATAGAACATAAATTGATCCAAACTGTTAAGAGAAGAGTTTCATAAAAGATTAATCAGTACTGGGAAAGAAGAAAACATGAGAAAGAAACTCAAAATAACCCTTCTTTGATTTTGTTTGGTATGAGATTTAATAGAGAGAAAGTGTAAAAAGTTTTCAAAATTCTGATATAATACCCTTTAACAATACCACACATTCTGCCGCTCCTGTTTCTTGACCGAGTCTACATCAAAAGGCTGACTGTTTGTTTATTATATTTATGTGAGGTGATGGGGGAAGTCACTGTTTCCTCTAATAGAAATTCTAATTTTACTTGAGAGATAGTGGTTGGCTCGGAGAAATCAATGACTTGTATGAATAAATGAGACTCTGATCTAATATCATAACCCTTAAACTCCCCAGTCAATCCTGCTCTGCATGATATTTGTTGCCTCTGCTGTTTCTTCATCTCTGCATTCATAGGCCTGTGTTGTTGAATTATAATGAGTGAAACCTGCAACAGAATACCAGTCAACCAAATAATGTATGCCTGTGTTCTTGTATGAGTGATTTTGCCTACTTAGTGTCATTTTCAGCTTGATGATTCTGGAAAGCTGCATTTCACAGAAGAGGTGTCCTAAGGTCACTTAAAGAAAAGCACTTAAAAATCTCTTAGCAAGCAAGACCCTAACATACGACTAAATTACACATAACTCCCTTCCCAGAAACTCCAGTTAAAGAGATAACATGAAGTACTGAGTGACTGCACATGGGAACAAAGAGTTTGAATGCCATAAATAAAGTTCAGACTGAGAAAGAAAAACAAGTGTTTCTTATATGTTTCTTTTTCTCATTCTCTCCTCATTCTTCCCTGCTCTGGATATCTGCCAAAAGAGAATTTAGGACTCTAGTGATTGAGATGGTGCTGGCTACAGATATGTCCTGTCACTTTCAGCAAATCAAGGCCATGAAGAATGCATTGCAGCAGCCAGAAGGGTAAGAGACCTTCTGACACTATGGAGAGGAAAGGGCTCTATTGCAGCTGGTACTTTGCCACTTTATTATACCAGCTTCAAAAATACGTTGCTGAAAACAACTGCAACAACAATAACATTCTCTGTTGTAACTATTTCTTTTCCCAGTGATTGGATTCACATGCAATTGCATGATTTCAGAAGAGCAAAGAAAATATTATTCTGATTGTATCACTGATATACCAGTTAAAGCCCGCTGAACTGGTTACCAATTAATGTAATATACTGCATATCGGACTGCCCTAATAGAATATTTGTGGGATATAAATGTCTGGAATACATTACTCAATGTTAGTTATACTAAATCATACTTTTTACAGGACCAGTTCAAAGTGCTGATATTAACTAGTTTGGATCCAGATTATTTAAAGACCTATCTCCACCCACACGATCCGAATCAGATTTTAATATCAGTATCTGAATACTGCTCCCTGTTCCACTAGTAAGAGTTACAAGATAGATGAGTAGCAAAGACAGAATCTCTTTGAAATTCTTCCTGCATCAATTAAAAGGATTATTCTAATCTGCATATATCTTGAACTAAGAATTTATATTCTACAGCTACTCTTTTTTATTTTAAAGATTTTATGTTGAATATTGGTTTTAGGGTTGGGCTCCTAATTAAATTGTAATCCATTTGTGAATATTTCACTATAAAGAATGGTCTATATGAGTAGCATTTAAAATTAAACTTTCTTCTGTTCTATTGGGGCATGAAAAACATCAAAATCACAAATTAGCAGCTAGCTCTCTTCCTATTGAAGAGGATTGCACTAAAAAGGCAATACAGGCTAGATGCTGGCTGTGGAATTTTGGGAGTTGAAGTCCACATGCCTTAAAATTATCAAGGTTGAGAAACACTGGGCTAGAAAAAAGGCAGAAATGCCATTTTGAAATTCATTACCAAAAATGTAGAAAATTATAGAGATGATTTATTTGAATTTCTAAAGAGGAAGGAGAAATTCTCCTCAAAATGTCTTAAGAAATACTTAACACTGGGAAAACTTTCATTAAGTTTTCACTTAGTATGTAGCTGAAACTGCAAACTACTGGAGAGATGATTGCACAATAAAATATAGGACATTCATATACCCTACTTAGCTATTGTATAACTAAATAGGTGCAAGAATACAAACAAACAAACCATTTATTATCTTTTTTGAAAAAAATTCTTAGCAACTTCTCTCACATCAGATTTAATGAGATTTTATTTATTTTGTAGGTAAGATATGATTTATGAAATATATATTTCATTCATATTTATGAATGAAAGAAGAATTCATTCTGCCTAGTTTCAATAAAAGTGTCATATATCTTGCTTGTTAAAATACTATCTTGGAACAGAACTAGGAGCAGGGGTAGACTCTTTATTTTTTTTCTTCTTTTTAGAAACAAACCTGCTTCCTTCTTATTTTTTGGTTACTCCAGAACATCTGCTTGGATTTGTTTCTTTTTTAAAAAATGAATTCTAATGTCAATCCCCAAACTTCCTTATGTAGGCATGGAATCTGCAGATTCATGCAGTAGATTTTATTTGCTGGAACTGATTTCAGCTGAAATAGATAGGTTTGTCAAAATATATTTTTTGAAGTAGGATGTATTTTTATGTAACTGCTAGAAACATTGCTGGGCAGAGCAGCTTAAAAAGGAGTGAAAGACCTTGCTTGGTATTTGAAAGCATATTATGATAAATGTCACAAAAAGTAATTACTTTACCATCACCATGTATATATATTGACCTTAGGTTCTACATTGTAAGCCATGAGCATTTTTTTTTCTTAATATTAGAAGGAAATATGGAGACACCATGTGTTTCAGACTCAGATAAGACAAATGCTAAATGTGACTTGTTTAAGATCTGAATTTTTTCCCCTAATATTCTTACTGGTTTGAGTTCAGAGACCGACCTTGTATTTTGACTATGTTTTGGATGCAACTTCACAAGCTATTGCTCATTAGGTTATTGTCTGCATACCTTCATTTCTTTGGTTAGCAGTCTTTTAAAAAAAAATCAATTTATTTAGGCAATTAATTTATGCCATTATTTTGGTTTTTCAGAATTGACAAACCAAAAGCCTTATCCCTGATGTTACACACAGCTGACATCAGTCATCCTGCCAAGGCATGGAACCTCCATCATCGCTGGACCATGTCACTGTTAGAAGAATTTTTCAGACAGGTAACATGAAGAATTCATATGACTGTAGAGCAGTGGTTCTCAACCTTTCTAATGCCGCGACCCCATAATACAGTTCCCCATGTTGTGGTGACCCCAACCACTTATAAATCACTGGGTGCCAGGGGCGTGGCCAAAGAAAAGGGGGAAAAAATGGCGGACAGCCTTGTATGGCGATCCCCGTGAAATGGTCGTTCGACCCCAAATGGGGTCCCGACCCACAGGTTGAGAACCACTGCTGTAGATGGTTGAATGGCCCTCACATAACTCAGAAATAAGCTAATTCCTTTTCCCATACTCTTCCTTCCCTCCCTCCCTCCTTCCTTCCTCCCTCCTCCCTCCTCCCTCCCTCCCTTCCTTCCTCTGGGATTCCATAGGCTTGACATAGGCCTATAGAAAGGAAAAGAAAATCCCCCTCTCAATCTTATTTAACAAAATGTATTATGAAGAAATTAGCTATGGCAAAAGTTCCAAATATGGTATCTAAGTACACATAGTTTTTGTTGCTGAGTTTGGGGAGGAAGGCTGCCTGCTTCCTTGTTTTTGTGGCTTTACTGAATTTTAATTACCTTTTAAAATTATGCTAACTATCCCTCATAATGGTTGTCTCCATGTTAAAAATTGTGGCTTTTACTTCTGGCCAGGAAGAGTGGCAAGACCATAGAAAAAAATTCTACACATCTACACATGCACACACCATTTAGGCTAACAAATTTTGCTTCTGTTTTTAGTCTTTTCCCAAATATTAAGGAAAACTTGAGGGAAAAAAATGCTGTTTTGAGTAAAAAAAATAAAAATATGACCAATTAACTTTCTCTAGGTAATACTGTACACAATCCAAAAGTGGTTAGGTCAAATTGTACATTCTTTTCTTCATGAGATTTAATTTCACAGAACATTGGGATGAAAGGTATGAAACTGGAGATTGTGTCTCTCACATTCTTGTGATAGTTTGTTCTCTCCTTCTACTTTTCAGGGTGACAAAGAAGCAGAATTAGGCCTTCCCTTTTCCCCTCTGTGTGATCGTAAATCTACTATGGTCCCTCAATCTCAAATAGGTAAATCCAAGATTCCCAGAGTCTGAAGCTGTTAATATATGAACAGATTTATATATGATGTGAAACAGATGTGATATATATGATGCTCACATTGTGAGGGCCGTCAAAGATGCCACTCTGCTAAATGAACAGGGAAGGAATTTACAGGTGCTAAAACTTTTCAGCACCTTGGTTGAAAGGACTAAAATATTAAAAATGTCAATGCAATGAGAGTTCATTGAAGAAACCTTCAAACCTTGAACAAACTAATCTAACCATGAAAGATTAGATTAGTAGTTATATAAATACCAGACGGGAATGCAGAAAGGTCAGAAAGCTGCAGCATTCTCTTGTCCTTGTCTGAAGTATAATATTAAGGCAATTCTATATGTTTTGTTTGCCTACAACATTTCATGGAGTTTTAAGGAAGATGAATATAGTTGCAATTAGATCATAGTTTAATTTTTGAGTCTTGTTTTATATGCAGAACTAGGTCTTTTATTGATAATCTTTAAAATGTTTCCATGTCTTGAGATATTGGAGGGTTGATTAGATGTAGGATTCTGTTTATAACTATGGACAATTATTCTTTTTTCTTTCCTGAACAGCCCTTGTGATAGAGTTTGATTTTTAATTAAAAAATGTGTAAGGACCCACCCCACTTTGCATCTTAAGAAGACAGAACTCTTGGAATATTTCTTCCAACAGGCATCTTTATTAAGAGAAAATGGTTGCAGGCATTCTAGACAGGATCTGGGGCCCAAGCCCTACAGTTCAAGATTTTAAGGAGTCCCCAGTAGCCCCACCCCCATCATCTTCCCAGCGACAATCCCAGGCTCTATATTTCCACCCCCTTTTGCTCACTGCCGGTGGAAGAGAGACTTCAGAGAGGAACAGATCAAAGCTGATGGCCATTCTTATGCTTAGTCCTTTTGGTGATATCCACATTCAAGTCCTTTGAAGTTGTACTGAAGTAAGTGAGGGCCATAAAACCCTTTTGTTCACCCCCCTTCCCCTTCATCGTATGACAGAATCCAGAGAGGGCAGAAATGGGGTTTTCCATAGTTGATAACTAGAGATGAAATATAATTGGATTCTGACATCCTGCCCCCTTAAAAATAAGATAGATCTACCTGAAAGAAAACAAAACAGGTATAAAAGTTAGTCAGGCTTGTTAGGATACTCTGTGTGAAACTTCTTTAATAGCTTTGGGGCTCTGACATGACGTTTATGGACCCATTCGTTTTGTGAGGCAGGGAGGTGTTTCCATGCAACTAGGTACTGAGTCGCTCCATGATATCTCCTAGAGTCTAGGATTTCCTATATTTCAAAGTGTTGTTCGCCCTCCACCATGATTGGAGGTTATGGTGGGGGAATTTTTGGCCATAACAATGACTGATGCTCTCTTTTCAGCAAGCTGCAATGAAAAATTGGGTGTATTTGTCTGAGAGTTTGGGGTAATTCTAATTCTACTATTACTGGGTTTATGATTCTTTTAATTGGAAAAGGCTCTATATATTTTGGTCCAAGTTTTTTGCAGGGTTGTAGGGACTTTAGGTATTTTGTAGAAAAGTACATCATTTCTCCTATAATAAATGGTGTAGGCTCAACCCTTTTTTTATCGGCTTGTGCTTTTTATGCCTGCCTAGCTTCATCTAGTGCTTCTCTAACTATTGGCCAGGTGTTTTGTAATTGTTCCATCCATTCTTTCAGTGATGGGATCGCCGGTTCATTTGGGGTTAATTCTGGCATGGGATTGAAACTTTGACCGGTGGCTAACCTGTGCTGGAGTGGACTGCATTATTGTAGGCAACTTCTGCAAAAGGGAGTAAGTCTGCCCAATCAGATTGCTGGAAACTAAGAAAACATCTTAAATATTGCTCAAGTACTGAGTTCAATTTTTCCGATTGACCATTTGACTGAGGGTGATGGCTAGATGTCAGTCCCTGAGTGGTTCCTAAGAGGGATAAAAATTCCTTCCAAAATGCAGACGTAAATTGCACTCCCCTATCAGAGATGATGCATTGGGGTGCCCCGTGCAATCTATAAATGTGCTGGACGAAGAGTTTCGCTAAGGCTTTTGCGGTGGGAATCTTTTGGCAAGGGATAAAGTGCACCTTTTTGGAAAACAAGTCCGTGACCATCCAGAAAACAGTATTCCCATTGCTTTCTGGTAATTCCACTATAAAATCCATGGCTATTTCCCTCCAGGGAGTTGAGGGACTTGCCACTGTTTGTAATAGTCCTGGCGATTTCCCTTGCAACCTCTTTGCAGTTGCACATTTTGGGCAGCTGGCCACATAGCTTTCTATGTCCTTTTTTATGGATGGCCACCAAAATTGCCATTTAATTAAGTGTAATGTTTTTACAAATCCAAAATGCCCTGCTGATTTTGTGTCATGGCAAAGCTGCATAAATGTGACTCTTTGGGTTGTTGGTATATATAACTTATCCCCCACCCAAGGCAGCCTGTCTCTCATTGTGCACACATTTTTGTTTTTCTGGAACCATTCATCTGTTTCCAAATTTTTCCGGAATTCAATTACAGTTTGGCTGCTCAGTTGTGGTTTTATTTTAGCTTGGACTGTGGTGGTTACTGGTGCTGCCAGTTGTGATTCTGCCATCATTGATTTAGAGTCTGTGATTCGCGTACTATTATATTGGGGCATGCGAGATAGTGCATCTGCCAGGAAGTTCTTTTCCCCTGGCAAATGTTTGAGCTTAAATTGGAACTGGTGAAAATGCTGGGACCAGCAGGCTTGCTTAGGGTTGAGCTTCCTGGGTGTTTTCAGGGCTTCCAAATTTTTGTGATCAGTCCACACCTGGAAAGAGATTTTGTTGCCTTCAAGGAACTGGCATCACGTGAGTAATGACCAATGTATCCCGTATGCCTCTTTCTCCCATACGGGCCAGCACTGTTCTGTTTCCGTGAGTTTCTTGGATGTATATGCACAGGGTTGCAATACCCCTTCGTTGTTTTCTTGTAATAGAACAGCCCCCACTGCCACATCACTTGCATCTGCCTGTATTACAAAGGGCTTATCCATGTCTGGCTTATCTCAGTACTGGTTCAGCAGAAAAAAGTCTCTTTAATCTCTCAAACTCCATTGTCCATGGTAGTGGCTGGCTAGGTTTACTGAGGATGCTCCCTTCATTTTTAGTAAGCTAGTGAGGGGCAAGGCTATCTGGGCAAATGAGGGGATGAATTGGCGGTAAAAGTTTGCAAAGCCCAGGAAACTTTGTAGTTGCTTTCTTGTGCAGGGTGGTGCCCAATCTAGTACTGCTCTGACCTTCTCAGGGTCCATTTCAATGCCCTGTTGGAATATGCAATAACCTAGGTAGTCTATCCTTTCCTGGTGGAATTCGCATTTCGAGAGTTTGGCATATAGGTGGGCGGCTCGCAGTTTCTTTAAAACCGCTCTTACAAGGTTGACATGTTCCTCTTTTGTTTCGATGAAGATAAGAAGGTCGTCAAGGTAAACAAGGACCCCCTTAAATAGGTGCTCCCTTAGAACGTCATTGATTAATTGCATAATTACTGCAGGGGGGGCCCTTGTAATCCAAACGGCAAGACTTTGAATTGACAGCACCCCATGGGGCAGTTAAATGAGGTCTTCCATTCATCCCCTTCCTTAATCCTCATGCAATAGTAAGCTTCCCTTAGATCTAGTTTAGAAAAAAATTTCCCTTTCGAGAGGTGTGACAATATGTCCTTCATGAGGGTAGAGGATATAGGTTGCTTTCACTGATTGTATTCAGAGCCCTATAATCCACCCATAAGCGTAAAGAGCCGTCCTTCTTCTCTCTAAAGAGGACCGGGGCAGCCACTTTAGGCTTGGCTCGCTCAATGAACCCCCTCTCTAGGTTTTTCTTTATGAATCTCTCTATTTCTTCCTTCTCCTTTGGGCTCATGGAGTATAATCTGGGCTTTGGGACTTTTGCCCCAGGCTTGAATTCAATGGCACAGTCCGTGGGTTGGTGAGGGGGGGAGCTCATCTGCCCTCTCCTCACTGAAAACTTCAGCAAGGTCTCTGGATTCCTCTGGTATTTCTGGTAGTCCCTTTTTCTCTCCCATGGATGGTTTTTCTGCTCTTGATTCTGGTAGCCCCCCTTGGTATTTTAAGTCCATGGGGTCCCCCTTCGGGAATTTGATTTCTGCTATCCTCTAATTCACCCAGGGGTTCCATTTTTTAAACCATTCCATCCCTAGAATCATTGAGCATTCCATGCCTGGGGTCACCACAAACGTTATATTTTCCTCATGTTTGCCCAGGGAGAGGTGTATTGGTAAAGTGGCTAGGGTAGCTGGCCCCCCCTGCTATGGACCCATCTAACTGGCCAAATGAGATTGGTTGTTCCAGTCTCTGCCCAGATTCCCCACTAGCATCAGGCTTATGAGGCAGCGGGTGCAGCCAGAGTCTATTAAGGCTTTCACCTTCACGGCTTTGGGCATGGGGGGAATTATTATATTACTGTCTTGAGGATGGGTGCGATGCGTCCACTTACTAGGAGTTCATCCTCCGAGCTGTCGTCTGAGGTGTCCACCAGCCCTGTGGTGTAGGCTGGAGTTCTTTCCCCCTGATGAGCAGAGGTGGGGGATTCCACCCCCTCCATCATTCTCATGACAGTTTCTTTTGGCTTAGCTGGAGACTTTCCTGAGTTGCTGATCGGGGATCTGTCTGGGTTGTGCTGGGGGGCTTTTGAGTGGCATTCTACAGTTTGATGCCCTTCTCTTCTGCATTTGAAACACCCCATTTGCTTGTTGGCTGTGGCCAATGGTTTCATTAGTTCGTGTGTCAACTCAGGCGGGGAGCAGCTCCATTGTTTTCTTCAGTGGTGTCTCTTCAATATGTTGATCTCTGCTTCCTCTGCCAAGACGTACCATTTCTCAAGTTGGGGTGGGTCCCCTTGGGGCAGGCAAGCGTCATATAGGTCATAATTTAGTCCATCTTTGAAATGGCTAAGGAGGATGTCTTCTGGCCAGTTCAGTTTGCTGGCAATGGCCCAGAATTCTTGCGTAT